AAATGTTACAACACAGGAGGAAATTCCATGACCATCTCCCTATTTATGTGTAAGGGTGCCTTCCATTCCTTCTTTTCCACACAAGGCATCTTCAATAGCAAAAGACCAAAGTTTATAAGGAAAGTGAGATTCTACAGATTAGTGAAGAATCTTCCTCCAGTGTCGATTTTCACCCAATGAATAACCAGCTTCATTTTTTGGTCCCATCAGAAGCTTTCCATGAATTGGAATTGAAGGATTTCATTCAAAAAGAAAATCTGGAGTGGGGACAGGACAGGCATACAAACTGAACATTAGTCTATTTTCAATAGTTGCTCATTCAATTATTTCCCAATACAATTTTGTTGTCCCCCTGACAAAAGCAACCCAATCAATCCTGTTGTTAAATATTATGCTAAAAACCCAAGTTGCAGAGAAGAAATCCATTCAATAATCTGTAGGAAAATGTTTTTATTATTGCTGATGCTCTCCATGCCTAATGGTTATTTATCGTATTAGTATCTAATCTTCTATTCATTCATAATCCAATATGTGGGGTTTTTTTTCAGAATTTAAGGTAAAAACAGCTATTTTCTCTGTTATGAATAGGTTTTATACCGAGTGAAAGAAAAAATACAATTTTCTGTGAGACAGGATAAGAACAAAAAACAGGAAATACACCTTTCTTCAGTCCCTCTACAAAGAACTCCATCTGAATATAAGACAGCAAACAGAATGGTCCAACCTGAACAGACCCATAAAGTACTAAATGTTGTAGTTGATCCCCATGGACAATGTACCACTGAGATCAAGCCTCCACTTTCTGCCAATCCATCACCTTTCAAAATGAAACCAGTGGGGCTACAAGAAAGGTAAGTTGGAAACCCAGTGGACAGAGTTTATTATTCTCTCTCTGTAAGGCAGGAAAGCAACTTGACACATCTGTGGGTCTGCAGATACCATCCCTTTTCCTGATAAATGTCTGTGCTCTATGTAACTTTTATTATTTTTAGGATTTCTTTCAGTAAAAACAAAGAATATGGATTTGGCATGTTCCTAAATCAAAGCATCAACCTTAAGTGTCATTTTATTTCTAAGAATGCCTCCAATTTCTGTAGATGGTTTTAGAAAATAAAAATGGTACTGGCTATATACTCGTTTTTAAAAAAAATATATTTTCAAGTCTGTCTTTCAATGCAGAGAAGGCCAAGGCAAATTAGAGATGGGAGGATAGTTTCAGAAAGTTGTAACACCAACCACATGATTCTAGTAAAGAGAAGTTTGCCCACAAAGGTGGTGAATATGCAAACCCCCATATGTGACAAAAGCTTCCTAGGTGACAAAAGCTAAAGTTGCCTGTGTTATGAATATTGATTTGGTAAGCATTTTTAAAAGAATGATTGAGATAGTATCATTGCCTTAAAATATTTATATTACCTTAAATGAGTAGTAATATATAAGTAGTGTAAATAGTATATATTGTATAAGGGTGTTGTGTGTTGTTTCCCTAAAAGGTCCTCATTTAAATATGAAAGGCAAGAATAGAAAACATTCACATCTAAATCAGTGAATATTGTACGGTCTATAGTTCAATAATGCTTTGCTTGGAGAGTGAAAATACTGTATATCCCCTTAAGATTTATGTGGTAGCAATGCAAAGTAAGGCAGTGTTCTTAACCCATATCAGAGATAAACTGATGCTACGATGCTCATTGCTTCACCGAATCAGCTTGTAGCAGAAATATTTTGCTCCATATGACTCAAATTTAATGTGATTTCTTGATGAGCAGTGACATCTAGAGGAGAGAAAATATTGTCAATCCATTTCCTATTTCATTTATGATCTATAAGAATGGAAGATGCAATTAACTTTCCCTTAAGTTCCCAGACAGAAATGTGCAGAAGTTACATTAGGTCATTCCCTCACATACAAGGTTTTACATGATTTCTTTAGAATGGGAGGGGGGTCTCCATTTTTTTCATCAATGTATATTCTCTAGGGTGTTTTCAGGTACATTGATCACCAGGAAGCAAGAAGCAAGTCTCTCTGAGCTATGATGTGGATTTATAAAGAGGAGTTTAAAGTGATAGTATGGCTCCTGGTGTCAATTTAGCTTTCTGTTTAGGACAAATCATTGTTTGTGTTCATCTGGGAAGATAGGTTTGTACAGTTTTTATTGGTAGGCATTCATTTCTTCCCACAGTAGATCAAAATCAGCTTTTCTAGCTTGTGCTCTTTTAGATATGTTGGTGTGACAATCTCCAGAATTCCCAGTTAACATCTCAACACATTTGGAGAGCACTAGATGGGAAAAGGATGGTCTACAAATGTTCTCTGAACAGCTCAGTAGCATATCTATTTATCTTTCAATATTCCAGGCTGTATAAAAGTATTAGCATAGNAGGGCCCCTCGCTGTCAGAGTCTGGTGGCAGCTCCAACGGCTCCTACTGGGCCACAACACATATACATATCTTCATTTTATTTGTATGTGCTTGCCATTGCAAGACAAATTTCATCCATGCTCTAAATGCTACAAATCACAGCAGGCCTTCTAGGATAAGCTTTATTGTGACTGCTGTTGGCTACCTATAATCTGAGTAGAAAAAGCAGCCATTAGCATTATATGAAGCTAGATGATTGATCTACCAAATTTAATAAGGTCTAATGTGATGATCAATAATTTCTACTGGCATCCTTTCTTCCTTGCTTGAAGAGGCCATGAGTTGAGTTCAATACCAGAAGTGGATTTTTTTTTTTCCTTTCTGCTGGGAAATAACAACTGAAGTAAAAATAACTGACAATGTCAAAAACAGATGTTTTTTTTTCTTCTGGCATATAACTTTTTAATTTTTTCTAGCAACCCCTTTGTTTCTCTTTCTGATACCCCCTTCTCTTCCTCACCTGCCTACTAAAAAAAGGAGCCAGATCACTATTACTTGCCAGTTAAAGGGTATTCCAATTACCATATTTTTTGGAGTATAAAAAGCATCTGAGTATAAGATGCACCTTAGTTTTTGGGGAGGAAAGAATTCTGCCTACCAGGTATTTATTTTTATTCCCATAACACCAGAAAAGCAAGCACAATAGTATAATAAAATGACACTTTTTGCCACTTTTTTCCTTTCCTCAGGTGGCCGGGGGAAACACTTAATAAGCTTAACTAGATATCTCAGAAATCAGCCAAAAGCACTTCACATCTAGTAAAAATGTAACAAAGCTGAATCAACAAACCAACCCAGTGCTTGCCTGAAGGAAACCCTTGAGAAAACTCAGATAGTTGATAGGAAAAATTCCTGCCTTGCCCTTAAAGGAATTGTCTCCAAAATAATAGAAATCACTTAGTCACAGGAACTCTCCACCTTGCCCTTGAGAGGATTATCTCCCAAAAACAGAAACTGGACAAAAGAAGTACCTCTTAAGGCAGTCTTCAAATCTTTCATTGTTGGCTTCTCCCAGCTGGAANAAAAGTATTAGCATAGTAGTTTTATACATCATCTTATGAACCAGACCAATTAGGAAGGTCACCTCCCACCATATCTTTGCAATAAGAGAAATTAACGCATTATGAAGACAATAGTTGCGTCCCCCACTTTCCAAAGAACAAGAATGGACAAGAATGAAAGATGGAAAGTGGGAAGTATAGTTGTGTTTGTCCCACATTATATTTATTGAGAGCCTGTAGCAACAACAAGATGGTTAGGAGTGTGTACAACTGAGTCCATTTCACCTGCTATTAACTCTTGAAACCAAATGGTCTTTTTGGGGGGGGGGATCTATAGAAAAGTATAGTTTAAAGACACAGTTGTCTTTAAAAACTGTGAAGTGCGTACCTACATGCAATCCTCCAAGAGGCAAAAGATAACCACAGATTCCCATGATAGAAACATTTATTTTGTGTCGAGTTTTGTGTGTTTTCTTTAGTATGTTTTCATCTGCTAACACACCAGGGAAAAAAGGAAATAAAAGCAGTACCAAAAATAAATCAGAAAACAAGAGGTAAATTTTCATAAAGTAGTTATTTCTCCAAATTTTCTCTTTAAATTTAAAATTAGTATTGGAAAGACCAGCTGGTGTACAAACCTCTTGCTCATTCTGCTGTTAAGATATTGATGAGGGCATTTTCAAGATCTCCATTCTCCTTAATTTTTAGTTGGCTTTGGACAGGAAAGACTTTAAATAGAAAACCCCTTCAAAAGAAGACTTTTTTTTCTTAGAGATGTTAAAGTAGCAAATGGTGCTGAAGAAATAGAAAACATAACCAGATCTGTTCCTACTTAGAGAGAAAATTATCGATTAAAGATGCATTCAGTTATCATTTTCCAATGAGAAAATATCAACCAAACATCTCTATTACTCTCATTTATAAGTTGCTTCCTCTCTGGACTTCACAGCAATTTATCACTGGAACTCATCAAAATACAACAGCTATGAATCAATTTCTGAGTATAGGATTCCAGCAGTGTTGGACACCAGATGGGAGTTTTCTATAAATAAAACAATTGGGCAAATTATTAGGATGACCTCAGGCATAAACAAACAAACAAACAAACAAACAAATAAGAACATATCATTTTCATGAAAGATAAATTGTGGTGAGCAAAACAATTAATTTATTAAAACATTAACAATCCTGATCTTGTAACTAAAATGACAAAAGGACCATGCTGCTACTATGAGTGGAAGGATGACAAGCATGTACTTATATTTCATTCTGAAATATTACAGTTAAAGGATGCTGTTTATAATATTTCAACAATTCCTTTGGCTCCATCCCTGTCAGGATTTTTTAGCCACAAACTGACCTCAAAACAAACAACTAAGGTCTATACGGGCCCAGAATTTTAAAATTTATCAAAAAAAGGTTCAAATTACAGAACAAGAATTCTGACCACAGCCTTCCTACCTGAGCAATGTTTACAGCCCGCTGGTGACAATATTCCCATTCAATCTGATAATTCATTCTAATGAACGTTCCTATAAAGGTGTCAAGTTTTAGAAGGTGAAGACCTGTTCAGTCTAAAGTTACAGAATCTATAGAAAGGGGTTTGCTATGTCTGGAAAAGATGCTCCATTTTGCTGCTTAAAAGAAAAAAAAATCCAGGGAAATTTCACTGCAGCCAGTTTAACAGCCTTTAAGCCTTAGGAGCAGAGAGGCTCATTCCAATTGATTATCTAATTGAATTTAATCTTTTTATGTGCTTGCCATTTATATATATAGTATATATAAAGACTATATAGTCTTTATATCAATCATATTAATTTTGTATAGCACAAATAGAAGAAATTTAGCCTGGAAAAGTATACGTTGCAAATCTGTGTAAATATACTGTACACTGGATTGCCGTCACATAAATTATTTGTACCAAGCTCCTATAATAATTGAAATGATCATTATTCAGCTATAACCATTTTTAAAAAATATTTCTATGAGAAAAATATTCTTGGTATCTATTGCCTTTAACCTCTCCAGAATTCCATTTTTTAATCAAGTGCAGCAGGATTGCTGGTGTATGTATCACCACTTGTGCTATATATAATAGAATAATTATTAAACATTTCCTGCTTTTACATCCAGTATTCTGCTAAAAGCAATTGCTTGACATTAAGCATTGTGTTGCTTTTTGCAAACTAAATAATGAAACTAAACCAGTGTTTGTGGATGATAGCGTAGGCCTGAGACCCTAATACATGTACAGGAAAGGTTTTGGAATTTCCTGACTGAAATATACAGCTTTTCATGGATTTGGAGGATAAATTTACTCTATTGTGTTGAGATGAATATGCTTTCTTGTGCTTAATATAACTCTTAGCTATTGCTTTCAGGGAAATGCCAATAACAACTGTTAAGCACAGGGTTGCGATGATCCCAA